CTGGCGCGCCTGTCGCACCTAGCGCACATGGCGCACCTGGCTCACTTGGCGCGCCTGGCGCAACTGGCGCACCTGGCACACCTGGCGCAACTTGCGCACCTGGCGCACCTGGCGCGCACCTGGCGCACACGTGGCGCGCACCTGGCGCAACTGGCGCACCTGGCGCGCGCCTGGCGCGCACCTGGCGCGCACCTGGCGCGCACCTGACGCGCTGGGCGCACCTGGCGCACCTGGCGCGCTGGGAGCACCTGGCGCGCACCTGGTGCACCTGGCGCGCTGGGCGCACCTGGCGCGCCTGGCACACTGGGCGCACACCTGGCGCACCTGGCGCGCCTGGCGCGCATGGCGCAACTAGCGCGCCTGGCGCAACTGGCGCACCTGGCGCACCTGGCGCGCCTGGCGCGCACCTGGCGCACACCTGGGGCACCTGGCGCACCTTGCGCATCTGGCGCACCTGGCGCACCTGGCACACCTGGCGCACCTGGCGCACCTGGCGCACCTAGCGCACACCTGGCGCACACCTGGCGCACCTGGCTCACTTGGCGCGCCTGGCGCACCTGGCGCACCTGGCGCGCCTGGCGCGCCTCGCGCACCTGGCGCACCTGGCGCACCTGGCGCGCCTGGCGCAACTGGCGCACCTGGCGCACCTGGCGCGCCTGGCGCGCCTGGCGCACCTGACGTACCTGGCGCAGCTGGCGCATCTGGCACACCTGGCGCAACTGGCGCACCTGGCGCACCTGGCACACTGGGCGCACACCTGGCGCTTACCTGGCGCACACTTGGCGCACCTGGCGCGCCTGGCGCATCTGGCGCACCTGGCGCGCTGGCGCGCCTGGCGCACCTGGCGCACCTGGCGCACCTGGCGCACCTGGCGCACCTGGCGCACCTGGCGCACCTGGCGCGCCTGGCGCTTGGCTCGCCTGGCGCGCATGGGCTTCTGGGAGGCTCAGCGGAGGTACGTCCTACGCAGATCACCGCTATACCATGGCGCCGAAATGTCCTTCGGTATTGAGTGGTCCTGCGTGCAACTGCCACTTGTGTAGAAAGGGTTGGGTACGTCGCAGGTGTTTTGTTTTTCGACCCTGACCTTGCCGATCTGCGTGAGGGGTGCCGCCGGATTTCAGACATGTGGCAATTCCCTTCTGTTTTTGGACCCTGACCCTACGGATCTGCGCCGCCGAATTTCGTAAATTTTCAAATGCCATGTGTTTTTGGACCCTGACCCCGCCGATCTGCGTGAGGGGTGCTTCCGAATTTTAGAAATGTAGCAAATCCCTTCTGGTTTGGGACCCAGACCCCGCCGATCTGCGTGAGGGGTGCCACCGAATTTCAGAAATGTAGCAAATCCCTTTTGGTTTGGACCCTGACCCCGCCGATCTGCGTGAGAGGTGCCACCGAATTTCAGACATGTAGCAAATCCTTTGTGTTTTTGAACCCTGGCTCCGCCGATCTGCGTGAGGGGCGCTACCGAATTTAAGACATGCGGCAAATCCTTTGTGTTTTTGGACCCTGACCCCGCCGATCTGCGTGAGGGGTGCAACCGAATTTTAAAACATGCGGCTAATAATTCATGTTTTTGGACACAGACCCCGCCGATCTGCGTGAGGAGTGCCGCAGAATTTTAGAAATGCGGCAAATCCCTTGTGTTTTTGAACCCTGACCCCGCCGTTCTGCGTGAGGGGTGCCACCGAATTTCAGACATGTAGCAAATCCCTTTTGGTTTTGGACCCTAACCCCGCCGATCTGCGTGAGGGGTGCCATCGAATTTCAGAAATGTAGCAAATCCCTTTTGGTTTTGGACCCTGACCCCGCCGATCTGCGTGAGGGGTGCCACCGGATTTCAGAAATGTTGCAAATCCCTTTTGTTTTTGGACCCTGACCCCACCGATCTGCGTGAGGAGTGTTAATTCTTACCCCCCTAGGAATTCTGAGAACCCTCCCGGGGGTCGCTAACCAGGGCAGTTTTCGGCTGCCCCTCCTCGCGCGGACAGTAACAATTTACAGTAGGAAGCAGAAAGCAGTATTGTAACAATGGAAATTGGAAACTGGAACTGGTGCAGGGAGCAGCAAGCTTAAGCCTCGCAGCCTGATGGCCCAGCAACACCTTGGACGCTCAAGCTACCCGTGCCCCCCTCCCACCCAGACCCAGGGGAGGAGGGAGACGCGTGCAGGGTTCGCCAGATGCGCCAGATGCGCCACGTACTCCTCGCGCGCCACGTGTGTTACATGCTCGAGCCGAGCCAGGTCCGCGACGCGCGCAGAGTGCACGAGGTGCGCAGAGTTCACGTGGCAGCACTTATCGGGCAGTATTTCGACATCCGTTCCATCCCTGTCACATCCCAATTCGCATCTGTGGTGGCGTACCAAGCACGGTGTATGTTGTGTGCACACTCATGTGTCAACATTCGTTTTTGAAAACGGTGGGTGCGCGCGAAGTGGACAAATATGATCCCCCCGCCATCCCCGCCATGATCGGTGGACAGTGATCGCGGGATTCCCGCTCATGGTCCCGATGTAGCGGCCACGTTCGTTGTGCATGGTCTTTTGGCGGGCATGGTTTTGGGGGGTGGGGGGGTGCACATGGTTCTTGGTCGGCGGCTGGTCGAGTAGGGGAGGAGGTGTTTATTCATAGTCTTAAGTCGGGCCTGTCCCTCTACATGGGGAATATTCAAAGATAGTCCAACAATAGCATGGGGACTATTCTTTGAGTATGGTTTGACCTTTTTGGAGTATTGTTGGGGTATTTTTCATTTTTCGTCGAAACTGCCCCTGTAGGGGGACACGCCCGACATAATCACAGTCCATACGGGAGCAGTGCTGGGCCCCCCTCCGAAGAGATGTCGCTCTAAGCCACCCGCGCCCAGCGGCCTGACTAGACTCGACTTAGGCAGGCGCCGCGCGGCGTGGCGTGATGATCGACGACATTGCCCCATGCTTTGTTTTTGATCGCCTGCAGAGCGAATCTCTTCACAGCGGCCTCGTCTGTGCGTGCGCGGAAGAGCTGATTGCTTCCGAGCTGACGATCGCGACAGATTCGCACTGAGCACGCATGGGTTTCTCAGATTAGATTCCTTGGCAGGGATCGCAGCGGCGATGTGAGTGAGCTTTGTCTTGCAGCTTGAAGTCTGAGTCATCGCTCGAAATGCACATGGCGCAGGCATCATGCGAGCAAGCATGTGTTATTGCATTGAAGTGGCGGTTGGCTACATAAATGTGGATACAGAACGCAGGTTTCGGCAAGCATTTCGCAGAGTCATGTGAAGGCGACGGGCCAATATGCCAGGACCGAGCGCAGCATGCCGCGCCGACGTTTACTGTTCCAGTCTGGGTTGCGTACGCAGACCGCGCGCGGTGGCGACATGCTGACTAGAGTGGCCGCATGTCTCCGCAGCTGGCCGCGCCAGGTGTTGGTATTGTTCTGACTGTTGCCCTGCCCTGTCTATGCTGCCTTGTCCCTGGTCCTCCTCCCTCCTGCCTCGTCCCTCGCACCTCTTCCCTTTTCATCGTCGTCCCTCGTCCCTGGTCGTCGTCATCCGTCGTCCCTCGCCCCCAGTCGTTCCCAGCCTCATAACTCGTCATCGTCGTCCCTCGTCCCGGCCCCCCCGCCCCTCGTCGTCGTCGTCGTCGTCGTCGTCGTCGTCGTCGTCGTCGTCGTCGTCGTCGTCGTCGTCGTCGTCGTCGTTCGCCGCCGAGGACACGCCGCGTGGCATCAACCGCTTCCCGGCGGCGATGTTCGCCTGGCGCGCCCCCCGCGGCAACCACGGCCGGCCCGTGCTCGGTCCTCCCGCGCGGTGGCGCCCTCCCTCGTCGTCGGCGCCGGCGTCGTCTCGCTCGTCGTCGTCTCCCTCCTCTCTCGTCGTCGTCGTCGTCGTCGTCGTCGTCGTCGTCGTCGTCGTCGTCGTCGTCGTCGTCGTCGTCGTCGTCGTCGTCGTCGTCGTGGTCGTCGTCGTCGTCGTCGTCGTCGTCGTCTCGCTCGTCGTCGTCATCTCGCTCGTCGTCGTCATCTCGCTCGTCGTCTCGTGTTCCTTCTCTCGGGACCCCACCCGCGCACTCTTCTTGCCGCCTGCGTGCCTCGATGCGCTCCCCTGTGCACGCCACCGCTTGCCGGCCGGCGTCTGCCCTTACGGCGGGCACGCCCCTCTACGGGAGGAGTATGCTAAAATAGTACAACAATACTCAGGGGACGTTTTTATTTTTGTATGTTTGGGCATTTTTTTGGTTGTGTGTGTACGTGTGTGTGTGTGTGTGTGTGTGTGTGTGTGTGTGCGTTTGCGTGTGTGCGTTTGCGTGTGTGTGTGTGTGTGTGTGTGTGTGTGAGATTTTCACACGTAATCCCCCTGTAGGGGGACAGGCCCGACCTAAGACTAAAACAAGAGCTTTCTCCGATCGAGCGGGCTGCGGATGCTTTCTGCGAGGCTATGGCCTCGCCCGCTCCGTCCTCTGGGGGCCCAGGCGGAGCGTTCCGTTCCGTTCCGTTCCGTCCCTCCTCCCCTTCCAAGAGGTGGGGCGCTCCAGAAAAGGCCTCGCCTTTCTGCGCATGCTCTCGCCTTTGGCGTCCGGCTGGCAGAAGGCTGGCGGAAGCGGGGGGGAGTGAAGAAGCTGCGGCGGGTCTTCCGATGGCAGCAGGCGGAAGGGCCACGAGTGGAGGCAGAAGTCATTTTGAGGCGTCAATGTTTTCGGGTCCACGGTTTCCGGAGTCGGCGAGGCAGGGATTCTGGCGAGATGCGCCTCGTCTTGATCTCCAGCCGGGGTGGGGGGCCCTCGTCGCGGTGCCTGGATTTGCCTCGAGATCCGTCCCAGAGTGCGCCGCAGGAGGGGTCTGTCGACGTCGTCGTCGTCGTCGTCGTCGCCGCGGTTCGTCGTCGTCCACTTCGTCGTTGCGCTGAGTAACGCAGAAGGTTCATTCGGCAAGTCACCAAGCTTCGATAGAGTGCCATCCATGTCACCACCATCGCTATCGAGGGAGGGAGCATAATGAGAGGATGTCAACACACAGGAGGGAGGGAAGCAGAGGGCATGTAGTGGAAGGACAGGAGGGACCAGCAACTGAGAGAAACTGGGGGGACGCCATGGAAGGAAGGGCATGATGCACCAAGGGAGACAAAGGGAAACTGACCAGACGGGAGAGGAATAGTGAAACTGACGGTAAGGGTTAAGTCGGGCCTGTCCCTCTACAGGGGGAGTATTCAAAAATAATGAAAAATAGTCTGGGGACAATTTTTTGTTTTTTTCACTATTTGGGGATAGTTTGGGGGTATTTTTAATTTTTTGTCGAGGATCACCCTGTAGGGGGACGCGCCCGACTATAGGCAAGGGGCGGGATCGGATGGTCTGAGAAAGAAGAGAGGAGAGGGAAACGCAGACCGAGGGGAAGGCGAGGCGAGCGGTCGCGAGGATAGGAAGGGAAGGAAACAGGTCCTCCCTCCTCCCTCCTCCCCCGACCCCCCTCTGGAGCTCTTACGGAGGTGACGGGCCTGTTTTCCACCACCACCATAAGTTGGAGGGGGGAAGGAGGAGGAGGAGGAGGAGGAGGAGGAGGAGGAGGAGGAGGAGGACCCCCTCCGCCTCCAACTTATGGTGGTGGTGGTTGAAAGCAGGCCCATCACGGAGGACCTCATGCCCTGCTTCAAGGCTGATCTTCGGTTGTTCAGACTTTTTGCGGCCTGCTGTTGCACCTCCCTCCGTTGCAGCAGGCGTCTGGGCGCCCTGTCATTCGGAGGTTCTGGGCGACGGAGCCCCTTCCTGAACACCAAGACCTTGAGGTATTTGCCCCGTGCGATCGCAGCGAGCTAAGTGATAGCACCGCCTATTGCAGGCGGAGGGCATCCAATACCCCCTGGAATTCTTTAATTTAATGCCGCCATTTCTTGAATTTCTTGCCGCCCCCCCGGGCCCCTAATCTCGATGTTGAGTCAGCCGCGGCTGGCGAAAAACCATCGGATCGCGCGGCGCTTCGCACGAACATTGACATCGAGGGGAGCGGGGAGACGCACCGCGCGACAGGGAGCTGCGCTGCTCTTCCGGGGCGGTGGAGCCCCTTCCTGGCCCAGGTCCTGCCCGACTCCCCCTCGCATCCCTCCCTCCTTCCGGCGACGGCCTGCCCGCGCGAGGTGCGGTCGGGTGGGGGCGCACGGGAGGTGCTGTTGGCAGCGAGGGGGGCGATGGGGAGGCACCGCCCCTCCCCTTCCCCTCTTCCCCCCGGGGCACGTGAGGACACCGTGCGGTATCTTCGGGCAGCCGCGTGGTGTTAGGTGTTTCAGCTGGGCGCGGGATGGCGAGAATGCTGGTGGGGGGGCCAGCGCCCGACCAGGGTGAGCCTTCGGGGTGCGGGCACCAAAAGGCTTTTACAGGTCCCTTCTACACGATGGAGATAGGGCCCGAGAACACCTGCTTATCCTGTTGATCCTGCCTCTTCCTCCCTCCTCACGTCACCGTCGTCTCCCCTGCTTCCCTCTTGCCTCTCCCTCTCCCCCCGTCCGCCCGAGGAACGTGGTCTACCGCGGCGAGGACGTGTTTCATGAGAAGCCCGTCTTTATCTGCTTCCCAGAAAACGTCTCGCTCCACTGGTCGTGGGAATGGGGGGGCAGCAGGAGGTGACGGAAGAGGAGGAGGAGGAGGAGGAGGAGGAGGAGGAGGAGGAGGAGGAGGATGAGGAGGCGGATACGGAGGAACACTTGGTTTATCGCGCTGCAGGGCTCGGGTGGAGGACGAGGAGCAGGAGGACCTCTGTAAACCCACAAGGGTTGCCCACAAGGAGGAGGAGGCTCCTACGAGGATTCCCTGAGGGAAGTGTCCCGTTGGGAGACGACCGTGTGACAATTTAGAAGCGTGCCAACAACTGTCCTCAGGGCTTCAACGCCACGGGTCAACCTGACTGTTGTTTCTTGACGGTCATGAATCGCGCAACAACACCATTCGTGGGACTCCAACACTGCGAATCAAGGTAACTGTTGCGCCCTGGCAATCCTCAGTTGCTCCCAACATTTCTGGCACGTGAACCATGAGACGCCGTGATACCATTGCAAGTTTTGAAGCGATTATGCGAGGCGCTAAGGCGAGACCCACAGTTTGAGAAGGAAACGCCCTCAGTCCGTGAAACTCTTGCAACATTAAATACGAATGCGCGCGGTGCCAAGGCGAGAGACACATTGTTAAAAGTAACCGCCCTCAATCTGTGAAGCCCTGGCAAATTCTTAAAACGACAGTGCGCGGCGCGAAGGCGAGAGCCACATTTTTAAAATCCTTCGCCTTCAATCAGTGAAGTTCCTACACATCTTTAAGTCGAGTGCGCGCGGCGCTAAGGAGAGAGCCACATTTTGACAGCGACCCGTCCTCGACCCATGAAACTCTTGCAATTGTTGACGCTGCGCGTATCCCCACCAGCCCATCCAGACACGATGCCCGGGAGAGCTGACGGGAGAAGGGAGGAAGAGACGCGCATAGTGAATCAGCGTGGGCAACAACGGTGAATTGGGAGATCTCTGGTAGCGAATGGTACGGGTGCTGCTGTTGGTGCTGTTGACCGCTCGCGGAACGCCCCGTCCAGGTCCAGGGGTAGGGGGTAGGGGGAGGGGTCAAGCTAGCCAGCTCGAGCGAGTCAAGCATGGCATGCCCATTCCCACCCGCCCTCCCACAACATAAGAAACAGTGATGGCACAACTGGGGGTTGCGCGGGCATTTCGGTGCGAGTGGAGGATACCCCAGGACACCGCATTGACGTCCGCGCGGGATGTGCGCCGCGTCCCATTCCTGCCACGAATTTCGCAACGTCGACGACAAGACTGGCCATGTTGAAAGGAACAACGGACACGTTCCGCCCTCCCACAACATAAGAAACAATGCTGGCGCAACTGGGTGCTGGCGCGTAGTGGTAGTAGTAGTAGTAGTAGTAGTAGTAGTAGTAGTAGTAGTAGTAGTAGTAGTAGTAGTAGTAGTAGTAGTAGTAGTAGTAGTAGTAGTAGTAGTAGTAGTAGTAGTAGTAGTAGTAGTAGTAGTAGTAGTAGTAGTAGTAGTAGTAGTAGTAGTAGTAGTAGTAGTAGTAGGTAGCAGTAGAGTGGGGATACGAATAGGTAGTAGTACTAGTAGTAAAGCGGGGCGGCCCCTGGGGGGCCCCGGACGACAAGAACCTCGAGCAGGTCCTGGGCACGTGGGTCCCAGCGATGGTTTTCCTCTTCGGCGCTGACTTCCAGGCCCCAGAGCGCCCCAGGAACGCCCCAGGAGTCTGGACGCCCGAAATGGGTGTTGAAAGAATGGGTACGATGCCCAACGGCAGTTCCTGTTCAATTTGGACAGGATTCGCTGTCCACGCCGCCGCGGCCTGTGTCCATTTGAGAAAGAGGACCGCCTGCCCAACAGCGGCCGCTGTTGGTTTGGGACAACGTTTGCTGTTGGGCATTGTGCCCATTTCTTCGGTACCCATTTCGGGCGTCCAAAAAGAGAACCGAGACGCCCCCGAGACGATCCGAGGGACCCTGAGTCGCCGAAAGATCGTTCCAAGACGCCCAAGTTGGCCTCCAGACGGCCGTAGCGCCAAGAAAACGCGGGGAGCCTCAGGAGGCCCTCCAAGAGCCTGAACAAGCAAAAACCTCACAGGCATTCGTCACCCCAGGGCCTCCTGGAACGCCCCGGCGCCCAATGAATTGGCGAGCTAAAAACGTGCGCCGAGCCAAAGCGGGAGCGCAACTTTGAGAAAATTTCGCTCGGCGCCCAAACGGGAAGAACGTTTCATTCACTTCGAGCGGGGGGGGGGTGCCGCGCCCAACTCTTGCCATGCACTTTTGCAGGGTGGGCGACAAGAACAGCTATGTGGGCAGGGAAAATCAGCATGGCATTGTTTCTGACAGGTAAGGTGGCCCCTCCCGCCTTGGGGTTGCCCCAGAAGTCCGCGCGCGACGCGCGCCGCGCCCCATTCCTGCCACGCATTTCGCATCGTCGACGACAAGACAGGCCATGATGAAAGCCAAAACGGCAACTCTGCATTGTTGTTTACAATCAGGATGGGAGGGCCCGCAGCCCGCATGGACGTCCGCGCGCGATGTGCGCCGCGTCCCACTCCTGCAACATATTTCGCACCGTCGGCGACAAGGCAGGTCATGCTGAGAGGAAAAAAGGAAGGAGGAGGAGGAGGAGGAGGAGGAGGAGGAGGAGGAGGAGGAGGAGGAGGCGGCGGAGGAGGAGGAGGAGGCGGAGGAGGAGGAGGAGGAGGAGGAGGAGGAGGAGGAGGAGGAGGAAGAAGAAGAAGAATAGAAATAATAATAAGAAGAATAATAAGAGGAATAAGAAGAAGAAGCAGAGGAAGAAGAGGAGGAGGAGGACGAGGAGCGAGGAAGGAGGAGAGGGGAACAGGACAGGGGTGATATTGATGATGATGCTGATGATAATGATGTTGCTGATGATGGTGGTGGTGATGATGATGCTGATGATGCTGATGATGATGCTGCTGATGATGCTGACGATGATGCTGTTGATGATGCTGCTGATGATGATGCTGATGACGATGATGATGATGATGATGATGATGATGAGGATGAGGATGATGATGATGATGATGACGATGATGTTGCTGCTGCTGATGATGCTTATGATGATGATGCTGATGATGATGCTTATGACGCTGATGATTGTGATGATCATGATGCTGATGATGCTGATGCTTATGCTGATGCTTGTGCTGATGCTGATGCTGCTGCTGATGATGACGATGATGCCGCTGATGATGCTGATGCTGAACATGATGATGATACGGGTCCAGTATGGCTGGATACGCCCTCTGGGCCTGACAGGGGGAGAAAGGGGAAGGGGTGGAGGATGAGATCACGACAGAGGAGGACGAGGGATGATGGGGATACGGAGGTAGGGAAGAAAGGAGGGAGGGAGCTCAGACGCGTGATGATGATACTGATGATGATGATGATGATGATGATGGTGGTGGCGATGATGATGATGATGATGATGATGATGATGATGATGACGACGATGATGATGATGATGATGCTGATGATGCTTATGATGATGATGCTGATGATGATGATGCTGATGATGATGATGCTGCTGGTGATGATGATGATGATGATGATGCTGATGATGATGATGCTGCTGCTGATGGTGATAACGATGATGATGATGCTGATGAGGCTGATGATGGTGTTGCTGATGCTGCTGCTGCTGATGATGATGCTGATGATGATGATTTTGATGATGATGATGCTGATGATGATGCTGATGATGATGACGATGATGATGAGGATGAGGATGAGGATGATGATGATGATGACGATGATGTTGCTGCTGCTGCTGATGATGCTTATGATGATGCTGTGTATGATGCTGCTGCTGCTGATGATGAGGTTGATGATGATGATGATGGATGATAATGACGTTGATGATGATGATGCTGATGATGCTGATGATGATGATGATGATGATGGATGATAATGACGTTGATGACGATGATGATGATGATGATGATGATGATGATGATGATGATGATGATGATGATGATGATGATCATGATCATGATGATCATGATGATCGTGGTGGTGGTGGTGATGATGATGACGATGATGACGATGATGATGATGCTGCTGCTGATGATGATGATGATGATGATGATGATGATGTTGGTGGTGATGATGCTGATGAGGATGATGCGACACCGACCGTTAGGATAATGTGTAGAAGGAGGAGCAGGACGATGAGGGGAAGTCGGAATAGGAAAAGGAGGAGGAGGTGGAGGAGGAGGAGAAGGAGGAGGAGGAGGCGGTGGAGGACGGCCTCTTTTTCATCCGCCTCCTGCTCGTGCTCCTCCGTCCACATCCTCTTCTTCCTCGTCGTTGTCTTTCTCCCCTTGCTCAGAACGGTCCCAGGATCCATCACAGCGGCCCCCCGGAGGCGAAATTTATGGGACAAGTGCATGGTCCAATGCTCGATGTGTGAAGTTTTTTCCCCTCCTGCTGCTGCTGCTGCTGCTGCTCCTTCTCCTCCTCTTCCTCCTTCCCCCGATCAGGCCAGCATGGCGGGCAAGCGGTCCGTGTCCATTCTGGCCGTGGGGATAGGCGGCTCCCAGGGGGGCGGAGAGCACGGAAGAGGATGGAGGGGGAGGAGGGAGGAGGATGAGGCATAGGACTCGATGTATTTTTTGTGCGACCCCCATGGGGGTTTTGCAGGTGTTCAGCAGTGCCGCGACGAAGCGGAGCTGGCGGGGAACGCTTATGGTTACCGAGGCTGTGGTGCCACCAGGCGCCTTAGTTGCAGCCATAAATTCAAGCAACGGAGGTTATTGTTGTTGATTAGCACCTGAATGGGGTGCGATGCGATGCGGTGCGCCCCCCCCCCCCCCTCTTCGTTTCCCCCTGGAGGGGAGGGGGCTTCAGATAACCGTCGTAGCTTTCCTGAGGGACGACTGGGAGGCGGCGCCCCGTACATGAGGCCTAGAAAGCTGGTGTTGCCTACTGAAGTTCTAAGTTTGACGGATCCGCCCTTCGTGGCCCCGTTGCTGCTCTCAGTGGCCTCGTCCTTGCCCTCTGCGGCCCAATCTAC